CTAGTTATAGCAAATATCATTTTCCAAAAAAACTTCATTTCTTTCATTTTGCCCTCATTATGCATTGACTTTACTATTAATAAAGCATTTCTTGGTAAACAAATATGAGTAGTAATGAGAATGCCATATGCTAGATATATCAAATATCATTTTCAATGAATTTCTATTTCATTTCCTTCATTTTGCCCTCATTTTGCATTGACTTTACTATTAATAAAGCATTTCTTAGTAAATAAATATWAGTAGTAGCAAGAATACCTCTTTTTATTATCTTCAGTTTAAAAAGGAAAAATRTTTGCTTGATATCTTAAATATCTTTTTTCTGTAAGAGGATATAATTTTTAACCTAGTATGCATCCTCTTATAAAGAGAATTTTTCTAGTCTTATGATAACAGTTCCCTACACTAAAGTTTTTATTTTTTCTGCTACATGAATATTCTGTACAGCCTACATATAAAATATATGAATACTTATAAGTATCATGTTCAAATATTTTTTCATTTCTGTTCATATTTGTAATACAATTTTTTTTATTYTTTGCTATATCCTCACTGAGAAAAATAAAACATTAATATAAGRATTAGCTAAATCTATGAATTTCAATATGGGCAGGGCAAAAACCTTAAATTATTCTGATGAATCATTTATTGATTTGCCTGACTGAACAGAATGTTAAATAAATTCCTTCTAGCCAAATAYCTGATACATCTCCAGAAAACAGAGACCAAGTATGCCCTGAATGAGAAAGATTGTCCTTCAAGTCTCTTAGAGTTTATTTTCTTCTTGGTGACATCGATGCTACACTGATAAATTAAATTGGTCTGACCATTTACAATAGAAGGTAGCCCTGGCCTGTGGAATCAAACCGATTGTCCCTATATTTCATCTATTAAACATCTCGGAATTAGTGCACAAATAAATCTAGGACTACATATATTTTAAATTCTTACTTGCTCTCTGAACAACCATGGAAGCTGATCCTTTTAGTGAGTTGAGCACATACATGTTGGTTTGAATCTAAATGTAAGAAATATCAGTTGAACCCTTCCATACATTACTGTCTACGAAGTCCACAACATTTCTTGCCTACTGAGAAATAATTAACCTGTCCACTAGCAAAATGTATACAAGCTCCAGACCACAGCCCTATTTAGTCTATTTGGATTATTCATGGCCCYGAATTTTGAAGTGCAGTTTTTATGTTGAACAAAACCATCAACACATGGTGATAGCTTAAAGGAAGTAGCCAATAGGAAGTTTGGAAATATCAAAACAGGCCTAATTAAAGATTCCTTTGTAAATAGTTGCTCATGAATGTCTGACATTTTTGATTCTTGACCAGTGACTGGGTATACGACAGATATCACAGCTAAAGACCAACTAGAGATCATGAATACACATCTTAATGTGGCTTTGAAGTCCAGCTTATAAATATATACTACATACACACTGTAGCAAGATAAAGAAAATAGACTTCAAGTTGAGTCTTAAACCACAGTGGTCTGATTTTCAAAAGGACATTTGCACATGACTTTGCTAGGAGTCAGAAATTGAGAATACATTTGTGTTTGTGTGAAGGATCTTAATTAAGGCACATTGACATCTGGTCTGTGTTTGACAGATAGATGGATATATTGTTGATATAAGCATGCTATATAATACTGGAAATAGCTTTGGCAGTATTTAATATTATATGAGGTAGCTGAAAGAAAAACTTACATGAAAACAAAATACATTTCCAATTGATAATAAAACTTGAATATCATTTACAACTGGTTTAGGCTAAAAGAGTGTCTATATTATGAAAAAAATATTCACTCAGAATATTTCAGGCTTTTATGACAATGATAAAAATAAACAATTAAAATGAAATAAACACTCATATACAACTTCCATAGGTAATAAACTGCAGAAAAGTAAGATTTTGTACTAAATTTGGCCATTACTCTATTTCTTATTGGAAAAATTCACAGTAAACAAGTAGTACGGCACTATTAAAATATTTTAGTGAATACAACATATATCAAAGTTAGTTTGCTCTGGCAATGAGAGCCTTTAAGGGACTCAAAATAAATCTACAGCCTGATACGGACTTGATTCTAAACAAGTAATGGAACAGGAAAGTTGGACTAATTCTCTCTCATCTCCTTTTATTAATTACAAAATTTATTTCTTATTTTCTTTCTTTCTTTTGTATCATAATAATCATCTTATTTTACAAACATAATCTTGACTCATGCCTATGTCATACATATACATCCCCTTTCATTAATGAAAATTAGYTTAGCAGTTCCAAAATATTATTGGCTTTAAATCTTGCTATTTTGGTACAATTTTTGGATTTCCCTCATCCTTTCATTTTTTCAAAGATTTTTTTCTAATAATTTTTTTTTTCAAAGTTTTTCGAAATTATTTTCGAAATAAAAATAAAGTGAAATATAGTGGCTAAATTTAAACATGACATACCTAAGAACACTACACAACAAATGAGTCGCTTCTAAAGCCCCTTCARTGTCTCATGATGACATGTTTTATTGCAATACCTAGGACTGTGCTAATAATAATATGGATTAAGGACTGATTTCCAATTKGCTAGAGGTTCCCAGGCGCAAATGCAAACTAATAAAAAATGAGAAATCAAAATAAAAAGTCAGGTTTAAGAAATACTGAAAAAATAGAAAAACCAGAAAACATCTAAAAGAGAGAATGTGGGAAATATTATTCAATCACTTAGTTTTTTCACAATCATATATAATTTCCATTGAATATTGAATAAAACATATTTAAAGTCTGGAACTACACGTAAAAATTCTTTCAATTTAAGGATATTTTGACCATATCTCACAGCCCAGCTTCAGTCAAGTGTTAGATGACAAAGGAAGATGTGAGGTCAAAAGGTTGTTTCTCTAAGTCCAAGATTTTTGCACTTTTAATTGCATGTGAAGTTTAGCATTTGCAGGGTCCATAAAATGGAAATAATATTTTGATGTGTTAATGAGAGAAAGTGACAATTCATGTTCAGAATAACAGGAGCATTTTTAATGATTTCAAAATTGGAATATTATTGGCAAAGTGCTATCATGTATGACCAGTAAATGGAAACAATAATATCATTTCTGGATATTTTCCTCTTAAGAATACCCATATGGGAATCAAAAAAATTCATCAAAATGGAAAGCTTTGAAGAGAGATTACCCYAAATGTTCACACACTTGATTACTTTTAAATTCACAGATTTTTGGTTCGCAGATGGTCAGGTGTGTCATAATAATATAATCGAAGATGTCAAACATGTAGAGGTAGAGAAGGACTGGAACCTTGTCTTGTTTAAGGTAATTAATGGTTTTACAGGAAAAAATATTTCTAAAGGGAAAAGTTAAATCTTAAAAAAATATTAAGTTAAGGTTACCATGTAATGCATAAAGAATTGAAAATAAATAAACTTGCATTACACAGGTACTAGTTAGATACTTGGCGTGTTTCTATTTAAGTTTTTAAGGATATAAATATTGTTTTTTCTTGAGAATTATTTTAAAAASTGTGGGAAAGAGTCAAGAAACTAAGCGACGTTTGTCACATAAAAGTACAAAAACCATTCAAATTAAAACAGGAAATTGGAATGATTATGTACAATAATAATGGTACAGCCTTTTAAAAAAATACAGCAATCATATAAAATAATAATGAAAGAAAATACGAGAAAACCACACGAAAATTTGTGGTTTTCGCCCCAAGTACAAGATTCATCAAGCGCTAACGTCAGATACAAATTGCGAGATTTCACATAGATAAGGTTAATTCATACTCCCACTATCCGCTGAAGTTTTGATTTAGTCTGTTATTTTTATTTCTGTAAGAACAGCTGGACATATGACAGTATCTTAAGACAGTATATGAGYTTTTAGAAGCTAAACAATCTAAAAATTATTAGCGATACTATGTCCATGCAGGTGTCAATTAATTATTTTTCGTTTGACTCGTTACGAGAGATTTCAATTTAAGGACTGACTTGGAATTTAACGAAAGCCGAAACAAAGCTTATTCATGTATTTTTAAACAAAGAGCACTAACGCGAGAGGCGACGAGGCAGGTGTTTATAAACGTTGTTATTTGGATTGTCAAAAGATAGACGAAAAGCGTCTTTCATGTACTAATACGACGACGATAAAGTTAACCGAGATAGTTTTATAATCCAATCAATCTCTACGCCATAGAAATAATTAGCAGCAATCAGGATAGAAATATTCACAGTTATGTTAAATAGGAATTAAATAACTTACCGTTAGCTGAATTTTCTTCCGAAGGAACAAAAACAMTGTTAGATTCTTCAAGATCAGAATTCAAATCGTGATTGCCAACTTCGGGAAACGGCACTTCGCTCTCAAAGTTTTCCTTCTTTTTTGATTTTGATTTATTATTAGGTCTTTGTTTGTCCTTCTTATCAACACTAGATGCATATGTAGGCGGTTCTACTGCTTTTGATTGAACGAAAGATTTGAAGGAGAAGGGATTCACTTCCTCTCCATCAACGACCTCCATCTTGGATTTATGCGGGAAACCGCTGAGAAAAGYTTGAGGCTGCAGTGTTGGCTGTTGCTATGCCAACCAGGACTTGACAAATAGCATTATATTTTGTTATTTTATTTTATCCAATCTTTTTTTTTACGAGGGTAACATAATTAACCTCTTAGTTATCTAACTTATGGCCCTCAAAATATAAGATCATTTTGATTACAAGGAAATAAATAATTGAGAGAATATTGAAAAAAATTCAATCTAATGTTTATAGCGAGTACAGTAACGAGTACTGGAATAATAGAGTAATGGAATGTCAAGGAAATGCCTAGTCCAGTCCCAGACTACTCCCTTTAGATCTGCTCCGACAGGCTGTCCTCCAAAACCAAATACTTTGTCGCATAAGCAAAATGTATGAATCCAGGCACTAGATTTTTTTCTTTTTTTCTTCTCTTTTCCGTTACTTTAATTTTTTCTTTCCTTTCTTATTCCCTTTGTTTTCTAATACRTCCTTTTTTTCAATTTGGTGGTCATGCCGTATGGAATGGATGGAACAGGGGCAGATACAGGATTTTAAAAAGGGGGGTGAATAATTTTTAAAAAGTTATTTTGATCCTACTTTTTGCTGTACAAAGGGGAAAAAATGATTAAATTATAACATACATTGTACTGCATACTTGTGAATGCAGCTAAATTTGGACTCTTGACATATTTDGTAATTAGATGCAATCATATTCCTTCTTCTATTTTCCTAAAAATATTCACTTTTWCTCCACCCAATCCACTCCCCCTGAATCTACCCCTGTGGAAGGATGTTTTTAAATCATGTCTCAAATGTGGTAGAGATAAGGTAATATGAAATGAAAGGTGTGAATGTTGCAGAATTAAGGATTTTCTCTTAGTTTTYCATTAATGTACTCCCTTGTAAATTCCAATTTGATCAGTGAGTTAGCTGTGTCCTGTATTTAAACATTCAAATATTTTCAGAATGATATATATAATATAAGCTAAGTTTGAAAACAAACGGTCTGCTTAATGGAAAGGGTGTTTAATTTGTAGCTCCTATTACTCCTAATTCATTTTGTCATGGTATTCTTTTGCCSTYATATRCTTTCTAGAAGTAGCTTACATTTCRTTTATTGCCACAAAACTCTGTCTACTTTTTTTGAAAATCAGTTAAAAAAGATTGAACATGAACTCTTAATAAGGAGGTACTTTTGCACTCGACTTTTACAAGCACAAGATAAAGTTTAACATATCATGCCTTCAAGTCAAAAGATCTATATCATTAGCTACAGTATCCAGAGTAGCTTAAGTAATGTTTATATGCAGCTGGTAAGAGAATGGCTTTCATGTGTCTGCCTATGTTTCCTCAGTGCCTTCCAGTAACGATTCTCTTCKTGCCAGATCCCAGTAATGTTCAACACCATATTTTTTCAAGTGTTCCCTTGCAATAGCTTCTGTTGGACACTGTTTAAATTTCCAGTCATTGAAGCTGTGCTCCTTGTTTGTTCCCTGAGTAGACAAAATGAGAGAAATCAATTTTCTGAATATCATTGTGTTCTTCTTKGTTGTTTTGGTTTTGGAAGAAGGAACTGAAACAAGTATTATAGAATAATTGCTCTAAATCTCGCAATCTAATTGGTTGGAAACGCATGCTTCATGAGAGCACACAGCATGCGTGCACACTTTCAGTTTCGTCATTCCTATCTAAAATAACAGTTATTGTAATTTGTATTTTATAAAAGAAATAAAAAACTTGCTTGCTGTGCTGTGTGCCGTTATAAAGCACTTGGGGATTGGCAGGACACTTGAGAAGTGTTGAGAAGCACTCCGCTACTCATCATGCTTCTCCTAACACTTCTCTCGTGTTCTGCCAACCCCTGCGTGCTTTATAACTGCACACAGCATGCTTGTACATTTTTTATTTCTTAATTTATAGCTTTCCTACCTCCCACACAAGGACACAAGCGTTAACTTTTTTTTCTTCGTCATCATCCTCACGCTTCTTCTTCTTCTCCTCAGCCCATTTGATGCGGTGTAGCATCAACCGTTTGTATTTCTTAATGGCCTTTGGTCCTCCTTCAGCAATGACCAAATTTAGYTCTCTGTATAACACAACACAACCTGGTTGAAAAGAAGTTTTTGTATTAGTATATCAACATTTAACTTGATAAGGCTCCATCTAGTAAGCCCTAAACAGTTCCCATTGGTAAATATTGTACTCTTATACCTAGCTGTACACTTATTTCAAAAAAAGGTTGTCAGTGAGAATRGCAAACGGTAACGCTGACCAAACGAAACCAGAATCTTTAATATTCTTTAAAAATACCTCTTAGGTGCCAGAAACAAATGTTTATTCTTAGTGTTTCCATTTTGTCAATATAATCTTTTTAAAAACATAGTTCTTTTCAATATATACGACGGAGGGAATTTGTAAAAGGACAACCTACCCCTAGGAACTTACAATTTTCTTCCATACGAACTCTGTAATTTTGCTCTTTCTCTAACTCGCCTCCCCTCCAGAATTCACAATTTCCTTCATGGGTAGGGTATGGATATTTTCTGGAACTAAACATTTTGCTATTTGGTCCAACAACCTTCTTCGAAATAAGTGCATACAGTATAAACATTTCTCTTGACTTACACCAATTCGTAGACATTTTTACCTTGGGTGTAATATTTACCCATTTTRGACCATACTTTATGTCATTCCCTAGGCATAAAGGGATTCAAAGTACTCCAAATACCTAAAGCAAGTGTAAATATTGGACTTTTTTACCTTTCAGATAATATTGCTGAGCATTGATATCCACTTTGTATTTCTTCTGTTGACTGTGCAGGTCATTTACTCTAAATACAGCTACATGGACTCCCAGAGATGTGTCTTCTTTTAACTTTTTGATATTTTTTTCACGTCTTGCCTCTGGTGTCAACTTACGAGCAGCATTAGCAGCTTCATGGGCTCTGATGAAACAAAGTTATCAAACACTTTAGAGACAAAATGATAGTAAATAATTTAAAGAGGGAAGCTAAGTTGAGTGATGATTGTAATCATCCAGTAGTCTCCTCAGCGTAATAATTTACAGTTATTACAATGATTACAAATAACTGGATGACCCTGGCAACTTCTTATACTTGCCCACAGAGTCTTATGGTCATCTTGCACAACCATACATATGCTAATAAAGCAGTTTTTAAATGAATGGGGAAACATACTATATAGAGTGACGGCATGCAGATGGTGTGACATGTACAGTAGTAACAATGAAATGTTTTACCAATGTTCTTCCAGTAATTCAACCATTCCCCRAAGCATAATAGCATGGTTATGGTTACAGTACGATTATGAATTTGTTGCACATCGTTTTCCTCATTTTCCTACTCACACAAAAGCCACCTATGAATCAACCTATGGCCTACTTACTTTTGCCTCTGTGCCATCTGTGCTCGTACATGAGCCTCAACTTTCGTAGGATCTTGTACAGCTTCACTACCAAGTACCCTCATTAAGTTGGAGATCTTTACTGTARACCAATTCCATAAAGTAAAACTTTCTTAATCTATTACATAATAATTGTCATTTTTTTAACCTTTCTAAAGTGGAGTCCCATTATCTCAAACATCATTGGGACAAAGGTTTCAAAACCACTTGGTCAAGATATCTAGTGTAATCAAATTTATTCTGATTCTCACTAGTGACACAATTGTGCTCTAAGCACAAGCACAAGCCAGCACAAGAAAAACAAAATCTTCCATTTTCTTGCGTTTTTCTCCTTATAGTGAGAACATGGACTAGATTGGAGTTTTTACACATTCTTAAATTGGCTTGCCTAACTAGACTTGAAACTGGGCTTTGATCAATGAATACACACCTTTTGGGGGTGGGGGTGGTTCTAGACCAAGTCTTATCTTTTCTGTTTTTTCTTTTTCAACTTCTCTTCTTCTTTGGGTTCTTATTTTCTTCCGCTCCTTTTTCGTCAGCATGATYGGAATAACTAAAGCTTCTTTAGGCTCAGCTGTGACAAATAATAACAAGGAAAATGAACAAAAATTATTTTTAAATATCCTAGTAATGGAATAAAGATGTTTGTTGTGAAGTGTGATCGACATCTGGGAGAGTGTAATCTTGAGAAAGACTGTTGTTGGTGGTGACTGACGTTTCTACAACCTGAACCGAAGTCATCTTCAGAGTTCAGTGAGAAAAGTAAGAGTAGAGATAACTTATTGAGGAGGAAAAAGTGATTGATTACTGAACTTGGTGTTTTATGTTCACTGKAAGTAGGGTTGCTTGTTGGTTCTCTTTTGTGCTTCAAGGTTTTTTCTCCTTTTTTCTCCTGTTTTTCTCTCTCCACAAAAATCAATTTTTAAATTCAAATTAGACTTTAGTGTATAAAGAGCCATTGCAAACCATTGCTAGATCCTATTTACATTCACATATTTACATATGATACTCATTTTTTAATTAATCAGTCCTCAACCTTAGCAATAGTCCACTAAACCACGACTAGTACAAATTACCTCTGGGTTAGTAAAACTTGAGAACCACTAGCCAATAGAACAGTAACTGTTCATTAATTTGTAATTAAAAACTCATTAATAATTCATGAAGGAAACACAATAGAAATCATGACCATGAAGGAGGTTTTATATGTGATATAAATTCATCTTCATTTACATAAACTTTAACCTGGATTTTCTCTATCAAGTTTGGTTCATTTCGTAAAGAACTCAGTACAATATGAGAAGCAACATACATCATGAGTTTTTTAAGYCGTTTAATAAACTCACAGATCGTGTTTCATCAGGTCTAAAATACCCGATAAAACACTCTCRTTTATGGAACAGTACTTAAATTTTAGTACATTTTTTTATTGTGAAGTGCTTAGAACAGCAATGCATTAAGCCTTTTCACAAGCGACGCAAGCACAAGCTCAAGCATAAGAGGGGTTTCATAAGAGGCCTTACTGTATTTCATCGTGAAAACTGTCTAACACAAGCATAAGCGCAAGCACAACAAAAAGGAAAAATTGTGATCCTAATGTTTGTGCTTGTGCTTGTGCTTGAGTCGCTCGTGAAAACCAGGCTTAAGTGCTATATAACTTATATTATTATCATTATTCATCATTGCCAYCAATCATGACCATTCTCACCTGGTGGATGCTTCTGTTTGGGATGTTCTATCAGTGCTGTAATCCCTTGAAGTTGCTCAGCATTACTGACATCCTCGTACCTTCCTTGTTGGACAATAACCCGATCCCACCACTCAATATCTGGAACATGTCCCTCTTGTATGTCTTTGGTTGGGGCAATCATGGCAAGCTTTGTCGCTGAAGAAATTCCTGTCTTTTTTGCCACTGCTGCAATTTGCTTTTGAAGTTTTTCTAACTGTGTCTGTWAGTTAGAGACAGTAAAATCTTACATGTATCTAACTGCTATCTTAAWAAACATGAGAACTCTGTAACTGAGAACTCCATGYTRAAATTTGTTTTTTCTCTGCCGTCAGTAGCAACGAAGTTCGCATGTTTATAAAAATAGCAGTARCTAAATGTCTTGGGAATTACTTCTGGGTTCCWGGGTTTAATTCCTGGACTCGGCATCACATGTGWTTATTWTTTTTAGYCCTCTCCCTTTATTGAATAGTTTTTCTCTAGGTTCTTCAGGTCTCCTCCCTTCACAAAACCAAACACGCTAAATTCCAAATAGATCTACATGAGTTTAGCCCAGAAGTTGTATCAATAAAATTTTGAAGGTCTTTAAAGTATGAAGCCAAAGTCACCCTTTCTCACCCCCACCCACCTATTACTCCTCTTTGCTAACAAGACCAAAACTTTTGTTTTTACCTTTGCTCTAATTCTTTGAGCAATTTCTTGGAATTTTCCTTTGTCATGAAATTTGAATGTCCTCTTGGCTCGTACAGCATTTGGTACACTAGAAAGAAGGAAGGAACCATCAGGGAAA